AATTAGAAAATTCACTTAGCACTGTACTAATAATATTTTGATAAACTTTTTCAGAATTTAATAATGACATTTTAATAAATCTTTTAACTTAAATCTAACCTAATCTTAAACCTCACTTAGCCAATATTCACAATAAGAATACAAACATTGCAGTTCTCCCATTTAGGAAATTCCTATTTTCATAAAAAGGCAGTAAAAATTTCAATAGTATAGTACTTTAGAAGGGTTTTCAAATACTCTAACAGACACAATAATTTTTGAGGTTAAAACAAAAATTAGCTTAGAAATCCAATTGACACAAGGATTAAGCAGCATTCTCGATATCAAGATTACAAACTAAGATTAGAACGTACACAAAGAAGAAAAAAATTAGCAGTACTTTTCAATCGATATCGATAATTATTTTTCTTTCCACGAGAGCCATAAAGTAATAATTTTATATCGCGACATATTTCACGTTAATCCTTTTATACCTAAACTCGGACGACCCGTCAAACTCCCATAAAGTCGGGAAGTCATCAAGAAGCTTACACCCTGTAAGTTTCATTTATACACGTACACCTACGCGACTTTTTACGACACCTTGGCAACTTTTCTTACCATCTGCCCTCACCATAAATTTATTCTTCAAATGTTATCTCGGGGATGAAGATTAATGTTCACCATATTGCGCGTTACATTCTAGTAAGATAAATGGCTTTCCATTTACGGTTGGAGTGTCTTGTAGCAATGAAGACACAGTACTTACACAAAACGTTTTTCTTTTTGTCCTACCGAAGTACTGGTTGGATGTCCAATCAAAAAACTGTTACAACGTTACCTTTCTAATATTTGTACTTAGGTTTTAGATTACCTGTACTTATTTAGTAATTTGGGGCTAGTAGTTTTTATGTTTATCAAAATACTTTTTCTGTTTGAAAGAATATTTAGTGTTTAATAGCCTTCGTATTTTGTTAAATACCTTTAGGTGCTTTTTGTATTATTATATATTTATACAAAGTTTGCAAACTATAGTAGGTATAGCGAAATGTCCGCCATCTTGTGTTTCTAATAATCTTCCAGGAAAGTGTTTGAAATAAAAGTTGTTCATGTTATTTATTTACAAATTATGATAAAAGAATTTTTAAAAAATTTTCTTTTTTGTTTAAGACAAAGTCAAACTTGATAAAATTTAACAATTTATCACTGGACTTATTTAATCTAGGATTTTTTTCAATTTAAAGGAAAATTATAATAAACATAAAAGTAATTGTGTATAAAACGATATAATAATAATTTGTTATTTGTTAAATATTAATTTTTATTCAGTTAAAAAAGCAATAAATTTGTTTATTTGTTAAACATGTAATAACTTTTGTTATTTATTATTTAAGGTTACTATTTGTAACTTACTTTACTAGGTTACTTTATAGATAAAATTATATACAAGATAAAAAATTACAATACAGTTTTCATGAATCAAGAATATTTTTAAATTAATTCTATCGTACATCAAATAAAAATAATTACAGAATACAATAATATGATAATTCATACAATAATTATAAAATAATGTATATTATTTGTTAAACAATTTATTATTATTCCGAAAAAGTTTTACTATTCGAAGTTATTTGAAACAACTACTTTTTGTAGTTGTTTGAAATTCAGTGCGTAACAACTTCAGTACACGATGAAGTTACAAGATAAAAAATCGTAATTATGTTTTTACACACAAGCTTATAAAGCCTCTAATTAAGAAACTGTACGACGCAAAGGGCACAAAGGTTTTCTTTGCAAAGCCGTGCAAAGCAGCATTGAAACCTTTTTTAAAGAGACTCTTCAAAAAATGTTTACCATCGCGTCAAAGGCTGATTCTTGGTATAATTTTAAAGTGCTTCCGCCAGAAATTGTACGTAATTAAAACGATGTTAATTAATGTTTCGTCTCTTCCGTTTAAATATCATTGCATATTTTAATCCAAAATTAATTGTGCAATTTTAAGAAATAGTTTCGTAATTTTACATTTAAAGTATTTTAACTTTAAGAAGTTCGCTAACGCTTTTCCATTGTTTCTCATTATCAAACTTATATTAGGTATATTTATCTGTAATTACAAACTTCACTCATCAACCTTAATGATCGTACAAGCCTTGCCAAGTGCTAAAATTCTTTTTGCAAACTCTCAGTGTTGTACGGAATTTTGTTCAGCCATTTTAGTTAAATCAAGTATTTTATTTGAGAAAGTGGAACTAATTCTATTTTGTTTCTTATTAACGGAGTTACGTGGTGTTTTAATGAATCATTTAGTAATTAGAATTGTTTGGGCCAGGTATTCGAATTTTATTAATAGAAATTTTTTGGGTTAGATATCAAATTTAGGAATTTGAAATTTGGGAATTTGGAGATTTGAGATTTGGAAAGTTGGTGATTGGGAATTTAGAAATTTGGGAAGTTGGCAAGTTAGGGATATGGAAATTTAGTCATTATTGAGAATTTGGGAATTTGGAGATTTGGGAATTTGGAGAGGTTGAAATTTGGAGAGTGGGGAATTAGGAGATTTGGGAATTTGGAGAGTGGGGAATTAGGAGATTTGGGAATTTGGAGAGTTGGGAATTTAGAAATTTGGGAATTTGGAGATTTAGAAACTTAGGAATCGAGCTTGTAAAAACTTGAAAATTTCCAAAATTAACGACTAAAAATATAAGAATTTAGAAATTTGGGAAGTTGGCAAGTTAGGGATATGGAAATTTAGTCATTATTGAGAATTTGGGAATTTGGAGATTTGGGAATTTGGAGAGGTTGAAATTTGGAGAGTGGGGAATTAGGAGATTTGGGAATTTGGAGAGTTGGGAATTTAGAAATTTGGGAATTTGGAGAGTGGAGATTTTGGAGATTTGGAAATTTGGGAATTTGGAGATTTAGGAATTTGGAGGTTTGGGATTTTGGAGATTTGAGAATTTGGGGATTTGGGAATTTGGAGAGTTGAAAATTTGGAGATTTGGGAATTTAGAAATTTGGGAATTTGAAGATTTAGAAACTTAGGAATCGAGCTTGTAAAAACTTGAAAATTTCCAAAATTAACGACTAAAAATATAAATCTCGAAAACCTAAAAATACTTGAAAAATTTCAACTCATACTAATCTACAAAAAATAACCTACAAACAACACTATAAAAAAAATCTACAAAAAATGATTTATCTACAATTACAAACACAATTTTATCTACAAGTTCAGTCAAACCCAACAATAAAAATTAATAAATTTTCACAGTTGTAAATTCTATTCACTTTTGGTTAGAAAGCCCACTTAATTCCTCATTAGCGCAGTCAGTCAGATTTATTATTTATTGAATAGAAACTACAGAGAATTATTAATCCTCAATTACAAACTTTAGCCATTAAGCTGAACGATCGGACAAGTTGTCTGTATTATGGGTTTCTTGGTGCCTTAATATAACTATAAATGATGTATGGTACATCGACGACCCTCACGTCGTATTAGTTACGAATATAGCGGTCTATTAGCTCGATATCAAAGCAGTGGAACCGAGGAAGGTGGAGAAATGGGTCAGACTAACATTTTCTTTTTATGAAATATTGACGTTGATGGGAGACTGTGAAATTCAATTACGTCGCGGAAGCCTTAGTGGACATTTGATATTTCATGTGCACAATGCCTTGTGCAGCGACGAAAGGCTGGACTTAAAAGAGACCAGAGAACGCCAGAGGTGGTCTTTGAACTTGAATTTCTACAGTCCACCTACGTGAATTTAATAAATAACAAGGCCTTTGCGGCGGAAAATGAGAAAAGATGTTGCCATGAATTTTCCAATATCCTTGGACAATTTTTCTTTTGGCATTGTTCATGTAACAGCTTTGTTACGTTCCCTGGGAAACATAATAGATACAATCACAGCTGAGCTTTACAATAGTCTCCAAATTTATGACGCCATGCGTAGTTTAAAGTAAAATATATAAAAAAGGTATTGCCCGAAATAAAATTTACTTTAAAATATGCAGCTTAGAATAAAATTTTGCAATAAAACATGTAGCCTAAAATTAAATTTACAATAAAATATAGAATTTAAAGTAAAATACACAATAAAATGTACAGTATAAAATAAAATTTATGATAAAATGTACAACTTAAAATAAGATTTATAATACAATATGTAGCTTAAAATAAAATATGTAATTAAATATGTAGGTTAAAATAAAATTTACAGTAAAGTGTATAATTTAAAATAAAATGTACAATAAAATACAGAATTAAAAATTTACAATAAAACGTACAATTTAAAGTAAAATTAACAATAAAATGTTTAGCATAAAATAAAATTGACTTAATCTTTATTATGAAATCGTGATTGAAGTAAGAATACAATTATTCATTTTATTGATTCATCGACTATCGATTAGTTGTAATAATTAACTCAGAAGTTCTTTAATGAACCAAATATTACTTCTTAAATTTGAAATCATTAAATTAATTGCGTTACTCAATTTTAAAGCGTTTAACTATTAATTATATTATATTAAAATATTAAATTATTAATTATATTGTAATTCTTAATTTAAAAATATTTAGTTATCAATTACATTACATTTCATAATTTAAAAGTATTCAATTATCAATTGTAATTTAATTAATTTGTTACTAAGTAATTAAAAATGTCAAAACCTTGCACTTAAAGTACATACTGCTGTTGCTTTTATTATTTTTAATAATCCTATCTATCATTTGTTGATTATTTATGGCTATAGTATATATGTACATAGTTCATAGTACATAGAATTCCATCTAAAAACTGAAATAACATATTTGATATAAACATCAAATATCTTGCTCGGAACTTTCATATTTTGTTATAAATATCGATAAACGGACATGAGTGCAAAAATATTTTATATAAAAAATAGATTAATAGCTCCTTTATCAAGAATACTTTTGATTCATTTTTACAAAGCAATGTTTTATTGTGACGTTATATTAATTTCGAATGTTATTTGTTTTGCAGAAAATGGTTGCGGAAAAGTATGATAAGCTCGAACCTGAGCTGAAACAAGAATTAAAAAGCATTGCCCAGCAAATCGTGGCACCAGGAAAAGGTATCCTAGCTGCGGATGAGTCTACAACAACGATTGGCAAACGTCTAAAGGACATCAATGTTGAAAACACCGAGGACAATCGTAGAGCCTACAGACAGCTCCTTTTCACCTCTGCAAAGGTATCGTCACGTTCAATTATCATTGTCACATAACTTGGAAGTTTAACGATAATAATAGTTATAGTCAAACATCTATCAAACTACCTTTTTTAATATTATTTATTATAACTCTCTTTCTTAATTTCCTTTATTTTGTTAAATTAAATATGTGGCATCAGTCGTAACTTCTATATCAATCAGTTGATACCACAATATTTTTGTCTTTTAATATGTGTAAGTATATAATTTTATGAAATCTATTGTGGTCAAAGGATCTTCTAAAAAGCACTCATCTAAAATAAATAACAAGTTGAGAAATCCAACAAGACTCCAGTGAAATGAGATTTCTATCTCTTCCTTCTACCCATTTACCTTTATTAAATCTTTTAAATTATTCAATTTAATAATCTCATCCAATCATAAAGTGTAAGATCCTTCCATTATATCTTGGCAATGAACTAATTCTCTCTTTCATTTTATTTATTAGGACGTGATTGGCCAGCACATCTCTGGTGTCATCTTGTTCCACGAGACCCTGTACCAGAAGGCCGACGATGGAACACCATTCGTTGAGCTGTTGAAACAACGTGGCATCCTGCCAGGTATCAAGGTTGACAAGGGTGTCGTACCACTCTTCGACACCAACGATGAGTGCACGACCCAAGGTCTCGACGATCTTCAGGCTCGTTGCATCCAGTACAAGAAGGACGGATGCCAATTCGCCAAGTGGAGGTGTGTTTTGAAGATCAAGAAAGACACCCCCAGCAAACTGGCTATCTTGGAGAACGCCAACGTTTTGGCTCGTTATGCTTCCATCTGCCAGAGCGCCAGAATTGTACCCATCGTCGAGCCTGAGATTTTGCCTGATGGTGACCATGACCTTGCTCGTTGCCAACAGGTTACGGAGGAAGTTCTGGCCGCCGTTTACAAGGTGGGTGTAGTAATTTGCATATCGATTTCATTGATTTGGAATTAATTCGGCTCAAGCATTCGTTTTGTGCTTGGAGTTTCATGAACATTTGCACATAAAGTACTTTGCACTGTAACTTTAAAGTGACAAAGAAAAGAAAACATTAAATGATAAAGTTGAAGCTGCATTTTTCAAGATTATGTATTTCAGTTTAATGTTTCATAAATATTAATGTGTACCTTTACTTATGCCATTGATGTAAACTCTTGCTTTACTGGTGAAGAAAATGTTGGAGTTTAAAACTGAAGTAGAACTTTTTGTGTTGCTTTATACTTTTCTTTTTTCCTTGTTACTGTAAAATTATAGTTGGTATCACTCACTTTGTTTGGTAATTGAATTCATTTTAGTTTTATTTATTTGATGCTTATTCTGATATATTTTCCAGGCACTGAATGACCATCATGTGTACCTTGAGGGAACTCTGCTGAAACCAAACATGGTTACGCCAGGTCAAAGTTGCCCAAAGAAAGCTACTCCTCAAGAGATTGCAGCTGCTACAGTGACTGCTCTGCTGCGCACTGTGCCACCTGCGGTACCTGGTATCACCTTCCTTAGTGGTGGACAATCTGAGGAAGAAGCATCTGTGAACTTGGATGCCATCAACAAGTTCCCAGCAAACAAACCATGGGCCCTGACCTTCAGTTATGGACGTGCTCTCCAAGCTTCTGTCCTCCGTGCATGGGGAGGTAAAAAGGAACAAATTGCTGCTGGCCAAGATGAACTCATCAAGAGGGCTAAGGTAACTTTGACGCTAACTTTCTGCATTTAAGGTTTCTTTTAATTTTCTGTATTATTTAAATAGTTTTTATATTACTTCTTTTTATGTAGTAGCAGAATTGTTTTTTATTCTGTGTTTGATTGCTTTAACTGATGTTTGTGACTAAAATTTAATGTTTCATTTTTTCAGTCAGTTTTTATTTTATTTATTATTTTATATAAATTCTTTTGAAATCATCTTTTCACTTTATGTATGGTTATGGTTCTGTATCATTTTTATTCTACATATTCTGTGTCTTTTCACCCTAAATAATTCAGTTTTTTAGATATCTATATTTATTACATTCACTTTTCTATTCTTTAAGTAATTTTTTATTTATTTATATTATGCTAAGCCTTTTATTTTTCTTTTTTTATATTTATTTTTGGCATGTATGTACATTGTGTGCTCATTTAGGCAAATAGCTTTGCTTCCCAAGGCAAATACGCTGCTGGCAGCATTGTAAGTGCAGCTGCTAATGCTTCCCTCTACGTGACATCTCACTCTTATTAAACTCCTACTTTTCTTTTCACAAGACATTATAATAGTAAGTATTTACTTTTTCTTTTACTTTTTTATTCTTTTTTTCTTTTTCTTCATAGTGCTAACGTTCATGTGATGGTGTTAATATTTGCAATATATCACAATATTTGTTAATACTAGCATAACATAATGTGTATAGAATGTCTGATATTGAAGTTGGATAATCAGAAATAATATCTAATAATCATACTTTTATTTTTATAGGCTAACAGTGAATCGGCGCTTGGCAAATACGCAGGTGGCGTGACGGGAGCCGCTGGCGATGCCGCGCTTTTCGTCGCAAACCACGCGTATTAAAATTAATCTCTAGCACATCGATAAGGATTTCCGTTAGACAATTAGATCGCTCGTCGAACGTCGCCAACGTCGATCACCGTGGCAGGCATGAAAACGTTACCATCGACAGTGAAGAAAAACGAATGAAAACTCAAACACGCTTCGAATATATCCGAAACACAAGTCATTCTCGCAGCTTTTGTATGGTTTTATGTGTCATACTTTTACACGATCAATGAACGGAATCGATTCAATTTTAACCTGTCGCGATAATTGGCATACTTCGTGATTTTACTCAATCGAATTTTAATGTTTTTCAATGCGTACAGAAGTTGAGGAATGTGTTGTGCTTCGGTGGCAGATAAAATTGTATACTCAGGATCATATTCTGCAGACGTTGTTGACCATTATTGATTCTCGATCATTTCAAACGAGCTAAGTACAAACGATTACCGCCCTTCCCGCTTTTCACTCTTCACCTGCGCTATCCCTACAATTCTTCCTTTTACTTTCGCCCTGATTCCCGTATTCGTATCCTCCGGGATTGTCACGCGGTGAAGAGTGTTTAACGCGTATCTTCATCGTGCGTATCGTTCGTTCCGAGCTGTTTGTAAACATCTTTGATGAGCAAATGTCGAAGGTTGATAATGATCGAGAAAACGTGGCCGACACGAATTCATACGAGCCCAACAGGCGATATTAATCGGGAAGAGATACTTTGTTTCGATCGTGAACAGATTTCGCGACATTCGAATCACGCACGCGTTATTATATTCTGTAATACTACAATAAAAAGCAGATATATATATATTATATATATTGTCAATGTCGTTATGATATTCTACGTGTATAAAAACAGGTAAAAGAAAAAAAATAAAAAAAAAAAGTAAAGATACATATTAAATGTTGTTTGTTAGCGAATGAGTCGAATATTATGAAGTAATATTATGTCATCTACTTATACAATATGTGTATCTTATTATAGATATTTAAGTAACGTATTGAAAAGTATCTCGTACATCGATGTTATATCTAATATTTTCATTGTAATCTAGGTCACCAAATACACTGTGGAGGGTATTCAATGTGTGTTTTTATTTCATGCCCTTTCAAATACATTGATTTCCAACTTGTGTAATACTCTTAGTATTAATATAATTAAAATGATTCTATTAATTAATTGCAGTGAGACTTTTACGTCTTGTAAACGTTGAATGTTTTCTTTATATTCTATTTAATAAACTTAACAATTTTAATTAACGGAGGAAGCTTAGATTATGAGAAACTGAGTGGTTAATTCAAATTTAAATTGGAGATTGTTCAAATTAAAAATTGTTCACTAAAATGAAAAATAATGTTATGACGCTAAGTGCAGTCATTTCTAGATCTAGATGGTAACAAAATGTTTTTCTAAAAGTATTCACAAAAAGTAAATAATAAATATAAAGTGTTTCGCTATTCAAGTTAAACTGTAGTTTTACTATCAAATAGTAAAATGAAACTAAATGATAAAGTGAATATTTCTGATTCTTTAAATAGAATATATTATAAAGAAAGAGTTAATTATTTTATTGTTACTGCATGTAAATTGTTAAATGTGTGTACTTACAGTATTTTTTCAAAATTGACTGTGATTCTGCTTTGAAACTTGATCAGTCTTAGGTCCAATCTATTTTCAAAGAAAAGTCATATTTATATTAAAAGAAACACAAGAAATTCAAAATTATTTGATTTTACCTGCAGAGATAATCTTCCAAGAACATCAATCTAGAAGTTTCTCATGTACAGTAATAATATAGGGTAACAAAATTACATCGTACAATTTCACTAAAGTTTACACGTAGTTTTACATAATTAATAATTTTTTGCACTTTTAAATAAGTCGTAAAGCTTTCAAAATGTTTGAAAAACGATCTAAAAATTTAATGGTTTTCTAAACAGTTTCCCGCTAAATATCAACGGTAACATGGGGAATTGGTTTCTAGATTCGCCGTAAGGGTACGCTATTTGCAATGGGTCGTTTAAACCCGCGTTTCGCGCCGGAAAATACAAAAGTCTCCTGCTTTTTATTCGTATTTCACAAAATGTAAGTATGTAATTCAATTTTTACTGTGCATTTGTCAATTCTAGTAACTTCATTGTTCACAAGGTATATTATTTGGGGAAGATAAAATACAAGTAAATACATTATTCAAAATTCTGTAGTGACATCAATTTGAGGAGGTTATGAACAATTAAATTTACGCAGAGTAGTATATAGTCGTTAAGTGATAAATACATTCTTTTTAGAATATGTAATATAAAAAGTAATAACAAACACTCGCATTTATTGTAATTTACAATAAATACTTTTAATTATTGAACAACGATCGTAAACTTGTTGTAAACTCGAGATATATAAATAAACTACAGAAGTGGAGAATACTATCGAAGGTTCTAGAAAGACATACTATTTAAAAACAAAATATATTACATAAATATTTCGCTTTTTATGTTAATGGACTGTAGATAACATAGATCCCTATTTTTGATGATCGATAAGGTAAATTGTATTATCAAACGTTTGGCAAAATTTATTTATTTTTATTTATTTCTGTAGCTTATAAATGTCATATGCATAAAAACTTATTTTAATAAAATATAAAATTGGATCAAGTAGTTTATAATAATAATCACAACGTTTTAAATATATTACAAGTATAAAATATGTAAATAATTTTTTATTCATAAAATATAACTGTAATATTGAAATTAATTAATTAATTGAATCATGTGAAAGAAAATTTGTATGATTTTTAATATTTCAATTTATTTATTCTACTAAAATTTTATTTATCGTCATAAATAACAATAGTTAATTTAATTAGTTATTATCACTATCAATATTATAAATATCTTGTTATAATATAAATTAATATCACGAATATATTTGTTACTAAATATAATTTAGTTACAGTTGTTGATAGTTCATAAATTAATTAATGTTACAACAAATGTTGCAACAAATTCGCAATAATAATTTTATCTCTTTTTTGTTGAAAATTAACTAACGTTTTACGTTCATGATCAAATTATATCGGAAGTACATGCAGAATTTTACTACGGTTCAGGAATAATGTAGGTTGAACAAACTTTCAAAGTTCCTTGTACTTTATTACGGTCTGCTAAATATTGTTCTTTAATAAGGGTTGATTGTTCGTGGAAAAAAAATGAACATCGTTCACTCGAATACGTGATTAATTTTGTTGTATACTAACCTAATAAGGTTGCTTCATCATGCTGTCTTTTTTACATTGATATTCAAAGTAAAATGTTGAATTTTTTAATATTATGAAAGAACCTTTGCTTTAACGTCTTGCGTAAATAAAAAGTGGGGACACATTTTTGACCTTTCGAAATTTATTTACATAATATGAAACGGTGACAATGATTTAGTTCAGTCATCTTCTTTTCACTGTTTTCGAAATTTTTATTTGTTCGCTGTTTCTTATAATCATATCACCTATTTTTTATAATCATATCCCCGTTATTATATCTTATAATAATTTTAAAAACAAACAGTTAAAGAGCCAATATTAAAACCAACAATCAGTATTAAATAATAAATCAATAAAAAAAATTATTACCTATAATCACATCACCTTTATTATATTTTATAATAATATTAAAAATAAACAGTTAAAGAATCAATATTAAAATCAACGATTAGTATCGATGAAAATAAAAAAAAAATGTGATCAAATCATAATTTCTTTTTTATAATCGTTAGTACAATTCAGTATTTGCAGAGGTTATAAAAGTAATGAATATGCAGCATCTTAATGCTGGAAAGTGATTTTTCGACGTAAAAATAATTTTATGCAAAGAACATAAGAGGAGCTCTGTAGCTCATCTTCTTTCATTCTGATTTCCTGTTCCCCACTTTTGCACACACGCTTTAGCATACTAACAATGACACTAATCCTGATCTTTATCTTGCGAAGAACTGAAGCTTTCACAGAACGACCCATTGATCAGTTCCAATCAATCATTCAGGATAAGATACCTCTATACGGAAGCATCTGAATGGTTTTTCGTGCAGCCAGTATCCAACATTCAGCGCCCACACTGACCCCGATGGTTAAATCACATTTCAGGTACGTGTAACCTTTTACTAGGTCAGAAAGCGATGTTGAACTACATTACCGTTCAAAAGTATTTGTCTATCGATACTTTTTCGATATTTATTAGATATAAGAAATATTTATCCATAAGAAGTATTTATTAGATATAAAGAATATTTATCCGTAAGGAGTATTTATTAGATATAAGGAATATTTATCCATTAGAAATTTTGATAACTTGCGAAATGTTTATTTAATTTTATTAAAATTAAATCAGAGCAGGGAAAATAAAGGAATTTCTTATTTTATGTTACAAAGTTTGTCGAGATGGTTTTCTTGAAATCTGTGTTGATTCATATTGACGTGAAGAATTAATGGGTACATTGATTTATGTTTTATCATCCGTTTATTTAATAACTTCATTTTTAATTTTGAACTGGGCGTTGTATGTCAGTAGGTTTAAAAATGATAAATGGAGGGATGTATAGGGTGAATCTTTAAGACACCAAGGATTTTATTTTATTAACTATTTATTATTTATTTGATAATTCAATTATTATTTATCATATTTCATACACTATTATTATTATTTACTATTTACTACTTATTGTTTGTCATTCGTTATTAAATATTTATTATTTACTCTTTACTCTTTACTCTTTATTATTTGGTAGTAGTTGTTTAATATTCACTATTTACTATTTACTGTAATTTACAATTTGGTCCACTAACAAACTTAGGAAATAAATAATTAGACATGTGCTTAAAAAATTATTAATTTCATGAAAGAAAAGTTGTAGTAACAAAACAAGTACAGTAAAATTATCTAATGTGAAGATTTCTTTTAATATAAAACTTCAAGTTATTTCTGTTATAAAGTTTTTAGAAGTTACAGAAATAACGTTTTTTTACGTTTTATTTAGATTAATCATATTGAGCAAACACGTATTTGTTAAAATGTTGCAGGAAGAGGTTTGATTAAATTATAAACAACAATTCTAAGTCTTTAATTATTTTCATAGATATTATTGCTGTAGCGACTTGCGTATACGAAGCTGCAGCAACCCTTATTTCCACTTCACACTATCGATAACACAATGAATAAATAGAAAATATTTGATTTTGTTCTTTTAGAATTCTATCAAATTTCTGAATAAATTTTCTTTTTATACATGTTTGTTTCTTTTTACATAATTTTGAAACAAAAGCTAAAAATTTCTGGATCTTTCTGAATTCTGAATAAAAATTTTCACCTCCTTTTGGCTATGAATCTGCATTGTTGGAGACTGTATACAATAGAGCTTAAGATTTCTTAGTACATCATTAGTACAACGTAGATTTATCCTTGAAGCTACTGACTACTGTTATTATTTTAAAATATGGGATACTCGGAAATAATGTAGTTGAGTAATATTCAGTGAAAAATAAATTAATCTGATACTTCTTTTTGTATTTTGCCTACAAATTGATTACATGATAATTTCTTTCTTTAGTATTGTAATTTTTATGGGCCCATCGATAACATTTGATATACTTAATGGTTAAATTAATTTCATATATTGTACTCTGAAATGTACAAATTATCATTACATTATCGTTATCAGATTTACATTGTCATTCATTTCACGTGAACTATGGTGATGATAGATCACGTATGTTCAGTTTCTGAAAAAGGGGAAAAAGGAAGTTCTAGGTACGAATGCGCTAGGTCTCATATCTGGAACTCATTTACCTGTATATTTGTATAACTTTCTATTTATTTGATTCTGTAGGAACCGAATTATTTCCATTATTCCTAGTGGATTAAAAAAAATACACATCTCATTCATATCAAATGTGTCGAATTTTAATAAAAGTAATTTTAATTGGAAGTTATGATTTTTTTTAAAGCGGATGCCATATTAGTTGACATAATTTACGTACAACGGTGGTCAAACAAAACCTTAATGCCACATATACGTAAAGTGTTTACTTGATTTCATAAATTGTATTATTTATAAGAGAATGATGCAGGTAGGATTCCTTTACCTAGAACTTTTTTGCTCTTCTTATTTACCTATATTTTATTAGTGATAATGATTAACCCGCTTACTGTCGTGGCGGCCACCGGTGACCTGAGCTACAAATTCAATTAAATTAATAATGTAAAGGAAAAATAAAAAGTAGAAATTTTGTAGTGTACTCGATATTCAGTCATTAATAAATTAAAAACGTATTTAACTTAATAATTGAATACTCGGTTAATGAGTATTATAGTGTGTCTGACTATATACGCCTTTTTCCACTGTGGCGGTCGACATCTAACGTAAAATAAATTATTATACTAAGACAATGCAAAAGTAACTATGGTTTTTATTATTTTAATTCTCTATTTTGTTGCTTTGATTTATAAGTATATATCTAATTAATTTTCACTTGTGAATAATTTATAAAATTGATTCTGAAGTACACTTCTGTTGTTTCGAATATCTTGGTTTTAAATCAAAAATAGAATTTTTTATAATTCCTTTGAAAAAGGGATTGGAGAAGAATGTTAACGATTCTAAAATGATTATTTGATAATTATTTCAGAATCTTTTTAGAATAATTATCCAAGACTGAACTTGAATTCAACTACATACATGTCCCATTTTAAAGTACAAAATTTATCTAAAGATTTATGCTAGTGGTTATAACTATTTAACTATTAGTCTATTCTTCGTCTATTTTATATTATCAAATTAAAAACAAATTCAGGAAATTGCATGGTAACGCAAAATGTTTAATTATTACTAGTTTAAGTGATGCGATATTTTGCGATCACGGATCAATAACATATTTTATTGAAAATCATTTTACATTATAAATTATAATTAATTTTGATAAATATATGTAGGCTTGCTCAATACAAAATCGTAGGATACGTTATTGAAATAAGGTTTTATTTATTGTCATGCTTTTTATACATAATTGCCAGCATTTTCTCATAAATAAGGATCAAAAAGAAGAACAGGTACAATTTATAAGACAAAAAGTATCGGTAATATAGACAAATAGTATCGGACTAGTCTCAAGTACATAGCAGTTGCCCCGTTAGATGAAAATAAATCATGCGAACCCTGAGTTTAATACTTGTTATTTTGAATAATAAATCTCAGGTATATTGCTCTGAATTCGATCATTAATTATTTAATTTATAATATCGAGTCACTTTCATGACACATATTACAATTCAGATGAGACAAACGTAAATTATGTCTGCACAATAATGTTGTTTTCAATCCCAGTTAAAATATATATAAACAAAAATTGCTAAATTCAAAATATACCTAACATTTCAACTTTCATTGTTTGCCTTAACATTACAGTAATAACTAGTTAACTTTGATTGACGTAATTGTAAAAATGATTATAAGATAAGAATTCAAAAACTCATTGCATGACAATAATGGAAATTTATTTGTTATTTTATGTTTGGATCTGAGAGTCAAAGTTTAAGTGTTTTTACAGAGTAATATTCAACATTCAAATTAATCTAAATTAATTTGCACATTCAATTTCAAACTGAAATAAAAAATACATAAATACATGTTTAATTATAAATTGAAAACATATTTAAAAAATACATAAATTAAAAAAAAAAACAATAAAATATACAAATTAATTGCTTATCTTCGCAAAGATCAACACACATTCCAATAAAATCTGTAATTCAAAATAGGAAACTTAGAAACCGACTATTTTGAACGTTACAGTAGTTTTATTATTAAAAAGTATTTCCTTCACTATAAAATTGTATTTCCCCCTTAAATTGCATCCCTCCAGTAAAATTTATTACGTCTCAATCTTATCTTTAACGCTATATCAGAGAAATGACGGATTTTATAATTCTCAATTATGAAAATTAAAAGACTTTTGTCAAAATGTAAACTTCCATCAAAATAAAAAATCATTGTACAAGCTGTTACTTATTTTTACAATTTACTTTCAGTTCAAACCCGACGTTCGTAAATCTAGGGTTAAGACCACGATAATATCTTGCAGGGTTCTGCATTTTTAATTTGCTCCCCTGTTTACGACTCCATCAAACAACGGTAGTATCTGGTTCTGCGGATCAGGGAACATTTCGTACTAGTTTCGCGTGTTATCGTGTCAGCCGTGTGTTCGCAGAGCATCGCATATGCTTAACGGCGAGTAAATACTTTTGAGCGATAGTGTATATCGCAGGAAGTCCGTTCATTCCTGCATGTATATATCCGAGAGACTGCGCAGCATCCTGATCGTCGAGGGGGTTGGTAGGGGAAGGATTTCGGTTTTTAATCCGTGGGTGTGGATAGGTAGTGGGGAGAACAAAGTAGGGAGAATTTCGCTATGGGAACAGGGGAGCGAAAGCCCGCGGATCGTCCTTCCGTGCCTCTCCCTCTTCTCTTTTTCGCCCCCGTTTCTTGCACCCCCACCAGAACAACCCTCCCTACCATCCCATCATCCCTCCCATCGTCAGACGTTCCGGCATTCTGTCTCACACCCACTATCCTCACACGGCTGGCGGGGGTTGCTGCTGGCCTCCTAGTGACTTTCGTGGGGTCGAGTAACACGTGCGTGAGGAAACACTACCGGTCCGTGACCGGTGCTCGAATTAAACCTCGAGATCGGTACACCCACGATAAATCGCGAATCAATCCATATTTTTACGCGACCGATCCTCGTGTCACTTGCCAGAGTGGCTGATCGCGGAAGTTCGCGATCGCGTTCGGTTACAGTCGGTTCGACTCGGTCCACTTCCGAACTGTTCGAATTCTTCAACTACTGGTTCCAATCAGTTCAGTTGGTCGGAAGGTCGTCGAAGAGTTCGTCGGTTGTTCCGGATAGGGTGTTCAGTGTCTGTGAACGATCAAAATACCGCTGTTTGGATGAAACTCTCCACGCTGGAAGATCAAAGAATTAATTGTTCTACGAGTGATCAGTCCGAATAAAGTTCGCGAAGTGTAAGTATGCGATCTTCGTAGGGAATCTCTTCGAGGATGAACAGTGTTTTCGCAGTTTTCGATTATCGC